CGGAGTGAGGGTGGGGGCGGCCCGCTCAGGCCCGCGCCCTTGCACCCCGCTTTGCCGCGCTGCCGACGCCCCTCCCCCCACCTCACCTAGCCGGGGAGGGGCGGCGCGGGGTTCTCCCGGCTTCCTCTCCGCCTCCCAGCGCGGCGGGCAGGGCTGTCCCCGGCGCCTTGCCCGCCTGCCAGGGGACCGGCGTCCCCAGAGAGGCTGCTCCCCGGCCGGCCAGCGCGGCTTCGCCGGAGCCTCCGAGCGCTCTGGGGAGCGCCTCCTCTGGGGAAAGTTCTCCGGGCTCCCCGGAGCCTCCATCCACGCTCGCCGGCGCCTCCCGGCTCCTGCAGAGCCCCTGCCCTCTGCGTGCTCGAGAGAGTGTGTGTGTGTGTGTGTGTGTGTGTGTGTGTGCGCGCGTGTGCGTGCGCGTGCAGACCATGTGGCTGCGGAGCAGTAAGTTCTGGAGGGAGCTTCCTGGAGGGAAGCAGACGAGGGCCCGGGCCGGGACAGGCTCGCTCCAGATGGCCCGGGAAGCGGGTGTGCACCGGCTCGGCGAGGTCAGGCAGCCGTGCCAGCTCCCTGGGCTCCTTGGCTTTCGGCTCCTCGGGCTCCTGTGCCACCCCAGAGCTGGGAGGTCCCCAGGTCTCCCAGGCGCCCCGGCAGAGGGCTGCATGGCGCCCCGTGTGCACTGGGGCTTATTCCTGTGTCCGTGGTGGGCGGGCCGGACCTGCTCTGGGAAGACCCCGGCATCAGGCTCTGGCGTGGTGGGCATAGAGGACTGCCGAGACTTAGCTTCTGGGGTCGCAGACCGGCCAGAGGGTGCAGAGAGACTGGTCTCACCCTGAGGGAGTCCCTCCGGCCGTGTGTGTGCGTGTGTGCGCGTGTGCATGTGTGCGTGTGCAAGCCATCGGATAACTGTCCGGGGGAGGGTGTGCTCTGTCCCTGTAGCTCTCAGGTGCCCGAAGGTTAGTTTTGCCGGGAAGGGTAGATGGTGGAGCGGCGTAGACTGGGTGCTGCTCCTGGTCTGAGGAGGAAGCTGCGGGTTCCAATCTGAGGCCTAAACTGGAGCTCCGCTCCGGCTGGTTTGCCTGGCGGACGCCGCCCAAGAGCCCCCGCAACAATGCGTGGTGAAGCACGGTGCAGGTGGGGGTTAGGCTGGAGAGCTGGAGCCTGGGACCTCGCCCGAATCTAGGTCACTGTCTCTGCCTCTGGTTTCCTTCCGGCATCCTCGCCCTTCTGGGAGGACAGAGGCGGCAGGCACAGCTGAAGCCCCAGGGCCTGCCGAGTTCCCCACACGCGCGCAGACTGTCTCTGTCCCCTGCCCAGCCGCCCGCCTGCCCACCTGGGTGCTGGTGGTCAGAGGCCAGCAGTCCCGCCAGGCTCTTCCTCCCTGAGCCTGCCCCCACCTCCCCCTGGCAGCCCGCTCCTCCGCGTCCTTGCCCGCGTCTCTCCCCTGCCCCGTGGCCTCCTTGTCCGGCTCAGTGGGCAGGAGCCCTAATCGGATGTGACAGCTGAGATACGTGTGGCGGCTGCGAGGGGGCGGGCGGGCAGCCAGTGGAGGACGGTGCGAGGGCTGCCCCTGGCACTGCCCTGGCTCTGAGCACCTCCGCAGGGCCCCCGACTCCTCACTTGGCAGGGGTGCCAGGGCCAGGAGGAGGCAAGGGGCTGGAGATGAGGCTGAGGGAAAGCACACGTCAGGCACCAAGGAGCTGGCGACACATGGCGGCCTTCGTGTCAGGTGTCAGGGCCTCTGGCTCTGGGTAGGCCTCAGTTTCCTCCTCTCTCCTCCCGTCCTGCAATTGCCCTTCCAGGGCCTTTGCCCAGAACCTCCTGCGGGTCACATCTGGGAGCAGCTGGGGCCGCCTCGGGTCTGCTGCTTCCCAGCGCCGTATTTCTCTCTCTGCCTTTCTGGGCCGGGTGCCAGGACTCCTGTTCCCCGCCGGCCCGCCTCATGGTGCAGGGCTCCCTTGCAGGCCTCCAGGGAGAGTCGCGGGGCTGGTTTCCTGCCTCCCTGATGCTGGGAGGTGTCGGGGATCCCAGGTGAGGCGAGGTGAAGGCAGCGGCGCCCCAGCCTCTGACTCAGCCCAGCCCGAGGGCAGCGTAGCCCTAGCCTGGCAGAGCCTGTCCTGGCCTCCGGGCTTCTGCCTTACATGCAGGTAGCGAGACCTTCCGCCCTCCTTTGTAGGTTTTCCCCCCATGACATCCGGGAGTGACCAACAAAACCCCCCACCGGCACCCACATATTTCGGGGAGCAGGGGATTAGCATAATTGAGATCAGGGTGCTGTCTTGTCTTCCCTCCAGCTGGGCCAGGATGAAGGAAACTGGCACAGACTTCCCTGTGCCAATTCCCTCCGCCCTCCAAAGACCGCCAGTGGAGCCAGGCCCTGCCTTCGTGGTGCCCACAATGTGGTTGGCACTGATTTGTCAGGAATTGGGAAGATTTCCCTCCAGACCTCTTGCCTTCTTTCTCCTCTGGCAGGGCAGGGGCAGCTCTGGACGCTGGTGCTGGCTGGCGGGCCTGCCCCCAGGGAAGGGTGTGGGATGGCCCCGAGATGGCCAAGTTGGCACCAGCCCCAGGCTGGAGCGCTGGACGAGCCTCCGCGCCGGAGCGGTGGGGGAGGGCTGGCACGAGCCGCCCTGGCCCCTCATTTCCTGCTCTTTGGGCAGCTGTGGGCGAGGAAGGCTGCGGGGACTATTTTTAGTTGGTCTGTCCCCTGGCAGGAGGGACGTGCAGAAGAGCACGGGGCAGGCCGAGGGTGGTGGTGGAGGTGAGGGCTGGCAGGCGGGTACAGGAGTGGAGCGGGGCTCGGGGTGCAGATGGGGCGAAGAGGGGGAGGTTGGTCGGGGCAGAGCCAGGCTATGGTGCTGCCTGTCCCGGGGCTCAGCCTGGAGCTCAGACCCGGAGGGGGCTTGGAAGCCCCCTAGACCACCCCGCCGCTCCCAAGGGACAACTGAGGCCTAAACAGGGGTGTGGGTGTTGCTGGGGCCTTGCACAGCTCTGCTTGGCTGCTGTCCCTCGATACACCTCCCTGGTCCCCACCCTACCGCAGCGAGGGGACCTCAGGCCAGGCACGCACGCATGCGCGCACAGTCCGTCCCCCTCTCTGCCTGTCTGCAGGGTCTCTCCCGGGAAACGCCAGCTTGGATTGTTTATGAGTCTTCCGCAGGCCGGGGAGGCTGGGCTGGGGTTTGTTTGGGCGGCCTGTGGCCGCTGGTGTGAATGAGGGCGCTGGACAGGGCCCAACACGCTCATGCTGGCAAACTGGGGCGAGGAGACACCTCACAGGGGACACACGTCTCGCCCAGCTGCCTCCTGTTAGAGCAGGGACAGGATCAGGGGCTTGTCCACAGTCACAGGACCAGTCAGGGACAGATGGACAACTAGGATGTGGATGCTGGCCTGGCTGTTTGCCATCACCAGCTCAGGAAGCAAGCAGTGCTGACTGCTGGGGAGATGACATGCATTTTGTTTTTGGTTTTTGGTCTCCCTCTGTAGTCTAGCGTGGTCTGGAACTTACTAGGTAGCCCAGACTGGCTTCAAACTTGTGGCAGTCCTCCTGCCTCAGCCTCCCAAGTGCTAGGATCACAAGCGCTGAGCTCAGGCTATGGGTTTCTGGTTCCTATCCGAAGGGATCCCTTCTGTGAGGCCTGAGGCAGGGTGGGTGTTCTATGCGAGTTTGGGATGCTGGGGAGAGAGTTGGGGACACAGTTGTGGCCTCGTACCATCCAGCCTGTGCCCTGGTACCATCCAGCCTGTGCCCTGTCTCTGAGGGCCACCATGTTGTACAGCTGCCAGGGAAGCCCGTCCTTGGGTTGGGAGTGAACGGCGCCCCCTGAGTTGTTCAGGTCCCTGAGCAGGCACATGTGTTAGCCTCTGTCTGCCTTCTTCAAATTCACTTCAGGCCTGGCTGGGAGGAGGTGTTCCAGACGGGACCTAATCCAACACCCTCTCTCCAGCCGGCCGCCCGGCCCTCAGCCGCTCTGCTCCGTCCGTCCCTCCCCACGGCCACAAATTACTGTGTGGGAGCCCCTCCCCCTGCCCCATTGCTCCTGGGGGGGCTGATTTATTGCCCCCCTGCAGTGCAAGTGCGTGAGAAATCAATAGTGCAAATGCACTGAGGCTGTTCAGGCTGGCAGAGTCCCTTGAGCCCGGCCAACTCCGTGGGGACTCTCGGAGTCACTCCGCCCCTTCTGGCTGGACACACACAGATTTCCACGCCCAGTGGGTAGGTTGCGGTGGAACACGGAGCACAGGAATTCCTCTGCCTGTCTGTCTGTCTGCCTGCCTGTCTGTGTCTCTGTCTCACCCCTTCGCTCCTCTCCTGGGCTGGTCTCAGCATGACAAATCCTCTCGAACACTTATTTCCTACTCTCTGTGGGGTGGGGGGAGGGGAGGGGCAGTGGGCCGCCTGCCAGAGGCTGGGAGGGGGCAGGTGGGTGAGGGCGCAGGGGTTGGGTGACAGCCCACCCCCTTGGAGCTGGTAACCCAATCCCCGCACCCCACCCTCCCGACTTCCCTCCTGCTCAAGAGCTCCGGCAGCTGCTGGCAGTGCGAGGCTGGCAGAGCATGTGTGTGTGTGAGTGTGTGAGTGAGTGTGTGTGTGTGTGTACGTGTGGCGGCCGGGGGCTGGGGCGGGGCGCTGCCAGGACATGTTAAAGGAGACTCAAAGCCCGGGTTCAACCTGGGTGGCAGGAGGAGGGGGGGCAGGTAGGAGAGTAGGTGGGGAGTGGTGGAGGGGGCGGAGCGGCCCAGGGGTCTCACCAGCGAGTTGGCACTGGAGCAGGGCCTGGCGAGCTGGGGGTGCGCGGTGGGGAGGTGGGGCGGGCGCAGACCCCAGGAGAAGCCCGTCTTCACCAGGGGGCGCTTGTAGCCATGGAGGGCACAGACTGCCCCTGTCCCCGTCCCTGGGCCAGGCCTGCTGGGCAGTGCAGTCCCGGGGGTGACTAAGTTGCTTCTGCCCTGAGGCTGGCAGAGTGCCAGCTTCAGCTCTTCTCGGTAGGTGAGTCACTGCCCTGGCATCTCCCCCGGATGCGGCTGAGTCATCCGGCTGTGCCTGCGAGGCGGGTGGGCACCACGCTTGGGGTGGGGGTGGAGGGTAATGTGTGGAGCCCCCGGTGCCCTCTCTGATCTCTCTCTGCCAGGGCCTGGCCCTGCCCAGAAACCTGCAGAGCCTGTAAGGACGCTGCTTCTCCTGAGTGCGTGGAGGAAGGGGAGGGAAAGGGGCAGTGTGCCGCCGAGTGGAGCGGAATGTATTGACTTGGGGTAAATGCCTGGCAGAGAGGACTGTGGGTTCGAATCCTGACTCTGCCATGGACAAGCCATATGACCTTGCCAAGGCAGTTTATTTATTTATTTATTTATTTATTTATTGGTGGTGGGGGTAGCTCTGGGAATCCTACTGAGTTACCTCCCAGCCTGTTTTTAAGATTTAAAACAATTTTAAGCTCAGCATGGTGAAGTACAACTATAATTCCAGTGCTTGGGAGGCTGAGGCAGGAGGATTGCTGTGAGTTCAGTGCCACCCAGGGCTACATAGTGAGATCAAAGC